AGCCGGACCCGACGGCACGGAACCGGTGGCGAAGGAAACCTTCGGACGTCGCGAGAGAGTGTGCGAGAGAGACCCGAATGGGGCCCAATCTCACTAGAGGGGACCTCTATATCGCCTTTCTCTTAACTCCGGGGCCCCGCGCTCGACGTGTGCGTGAAACTGGCGACCGAGAATTCCATGCTCTCGTGGTACTTCGAACACTTATATTCGTTCGCGTGTACACAACTTGGGAATGGTTTTTGTAATTCCTTTAAACACGTTGCGGTAACTGGACCCTTTAGCCCGAGACGTTCGGAGATCCCGGTGGGATGAGGTTTTGTGGAATAGAGAGGTTTCGGTGACGAATAACTCTACGGGATTTTTAGAAAATCTGTACAGAACCGACACTTTCGTTTAGCGAGTAATGATATTTATATCTATTTGCTTTTTGTTCGATTCATCGTACTCTCGGTTTGGTGCTTTCATTTTAGCGGGAGAATATTGTAATTCGAATATTTGTCACTGTGGTGTAACTGGATGGTTTTGTGGACGTTCGTGATGTTTTATTGGCTTTCTTTGACTTCATTGAACTTATATCGAAGTAAATTTGCATCGTGTTAAGAATAAGAGAGGACCGAAGAGAGTAAACGCAGAGTCGTCCGTACAAAAGAAGTCCACTATATCATGTTTCTGATAACTTCGATAGCTCAGCAGACACGAGTTAAGTCCAGCAAGAAATACGAATCTTGTTTTATTTTCCGAAACTGCTTTTTGCACAACTGTTTTCGTTGGCTTGCCAAAGAGGGGGGGACCCATTGAAAAGAGAGAATTATTCCGTGGCTCTTCCGTCGGGGATTCATTTTGGAATTTATAAATCGTGGAACCCGAAATTAATGCGATCGCGTGTATTTAATTTTAAGTCAGTTGTATTGGTATCACATAGTTTTTCTTCGTGAGCATTGAATGTGAAATGTGAAGTTGTTCCAACAACTTTTTGCGAACCGATTCCCTTCCCGCAACGTGTGCTGCGTTAACTCGTTTGAAAAGCGAAATGCCAGCGAACAAGTTTAATTACACTTCGCTGATTTATTCAGCACATCTTAAAATTTATAGCCGACGACGTGAACGACATTTTATGCAAAAGTTTTTGTTGCAATCAGCGCACGGGACGATGTTCAATTAACAAGCTCCAGCATGAATTCGTGATTTCATCTTGATTAGTATTGAGTAAACATTTTATGGAACCGTTTAAAATATTGCCTACGGAATCAACCGTGGTCACGCGATTGGTTTTTGAATTAAAGTGATTTTCGCACGGCACGGCACGTCGTCACGAATTTAAGCGATTTTATCACGCGATTACTTCCTCTTAGACATTGCTTAATTGGGTTTGCTAATCTGTTATTTTCGATGCAAGTCTTACAATTAAACTTTGTCGTTTCGCGTCTTGGCGTCATAATTTCTTTTGTAAGTTTCTCTCAAGGGAAAAAACGACACTTACTTCAGCTTCGCATAATTGGTGTCCTCTTCACAGGTCTAATAATGCCCACTAACTCACAGTTTCAACTTAATCGATTTTCTTCTTTCATACTAGTTAACAGTTAATTTTTTTATTTCCTTAGATCTCCCAGAATATTGACATTTTGTGCAATTTCACGGTAGTCTATTTTCACTCAAATTATCTGTTCACAAAGTATAAAGATATCTTTTAAACGTTCATCGATTATAGCGAAATAATGCATTAACATATCGCGACTAAATTTGTCTGTTTAATGCGGGCACAGGCAAAGTCACGTGCCGGCTGTCCATTGAAAACCTATTGGTGTTGCCTTTACTAACTATGTAACGGCAACGCCACGAGACTTACCATTCACGAGGCTGAGATATGCCTTCAAGAATGGAAACGGCGGCAACGTTGTACGCGATGCTTTCAACCGACACCTAAATTGAGAGCCAGTTTAAGGCTAATTCACACTTAGGAAACATGAAATGAATTGCCGTATCATAATGTCATAATATCGTATCACCGACATTACTTTTTTTTTTCACACTTCAGTGACACGACGAAATTAAAATAGGTGCTTAATCTTCAAACATCTTGAGGTTTCACATTTTTCACCATAATGTTTAACACAACCACTCATCATGTATTCATTAATACAGAGATTGGACAAAACACATCAAGATTTTTACATAAAATTTCATTCTCCAACACTCTTCGCTTGAACAAGCAAAATAGACATATTGTAGCTCCAGTCAGACAAACGAGTCACAATACACAAGTTCACATGGTGTATGCATTAAAAACAGACTTCGTTTAATTTAACCACACACTGTCCAATTGTGGACCATACTTTACAGTCGCCCTTTACAGCCGTCAGCATGGTGGCAGACTATCTTAGAAAATGATAGAGAAGAACTGTGTAATGGAGCAAGAGAGAGGGTTTTAATGGATCCGAGGTATTGAGAGGAGTTCCACGCATTCATGCTCACATATTTATAGCTTTTGGACTAGCCAGCTTAGCGGGACTACGAAACGCATTTGCTGCTCTAAGAGTGGCGCGTTACTACACAATGTACCGTGTTTCGTACTGTGATCTGTGTGGCAACGTAGCGCTCTTCTTGTCTCGAGGGAGTAACAGTGGATGTAATATCCTCGATCCCTTTGATTTTAGATATCCCGACAATAACGAGGGGTTCTACGTATTCGTAGAGCGAAGCTCAACTATAATGTAAATTCCCCTTGTTCTAGGAGGAAATTCTTGATCATGCATGCGAAATTATCACCACGCTCTCACATTAGGCTACCAATTACTTCACTTCTAGAATTTCTTTTGACGTTTGTTCTATTCTATTTTTTATATTAATACAACATTTTTATTAAAAGATTATGTTACAATTGCATTACAATAATTACAGAGACTTTAGGAATTATAATTCCGAGAATAATGCACTACAGTACACTTCTCGTATTCAAGTTTGTATTCTCAACATTTGTGTGTTGCTTAAATACTAAAATACTTTAACTGTTTGTTATGAGAGCGTCCGTATTATGAAGAAGGTCCGCATTTGGATTAAAACATTACAATGCAACTAATTTAATTTATTACACAAATTATCTTGCTGCTATAGTGTTCTCTTCTCTGGAATATTACACAAACGAATCCTGTTGAGCCTGTATTACGCAGTCCAAACATTCCCACGACGAAGTCGGTGAGAGCATATCATGACGATGCCCCACAATTTTATTGTATCAGAGAATGGTCGATCCATTAGGGGGTACGCTATTGTGTTCGATGACTATAAGAATTTAAAACCATCGAATAGATTACACGACGTTTCATTGAATTGTATATTGGAATCCTGGCATTCCAACAGTAAGGCAGTATCGGAGGATTCACTGAGCAGCTAACATTTCGAACATCAAACGCGTTCTTCCCAATTAGATCGCTTAGAAAGGTCTTTTTTTTACGTTTCTACCTAACAAGATTACAGTAATTCTGTTGGGGTTTAGAATGTTAACGGATCCTTCGATAAGCATAGTTATCGCGCTTATAACATCATTGTTTCATCAGTTCCGGAATTGATAGTATCAGCGTGTGTGCAATTAGATAGGAGATCCCTATCCTTTTATCCAGGTAACTTTACGCGACTTAAACATTCAACGCATTCAACGGGGGACGATTTTTTTATGACTGTATTATCAGTCGCGGATCTTATCTGGTTTCAGGCGGTTTATTTTCTTTTGCGGTACCAAAATGGCTGCTCGCCGCGGAAACCGCAAGCAGGTAATTCGAAACCATTGAACTACATTTTCTACGGGTTAATCACCGACAATGCTCGGCTCACGGTAATACGCGTATGTTCACTGGAATATTTTTAGTCTTGTGTTCTCAAGGTACGTTTTATTAAATTACCATATTCCTTCGTCATTATCCACTATCATGGTTACGAAGCATGCAAACTGTAATGCAATACTTTACAGAAATTCTTCCAGCAACATTTGAGTCATAGACACGAGCCTGAACACTTATTTTACTTATTCAATCAACTTTACTTAATATGCAAATAAGATAGGTCTTGAAGTATCATTTTCTGGTAAAATATGTAAGTAAAACATTTTTGTAGTAAATGCATTATTACCTACGCTATAAAAATTACTGTGCATACAATTTTGCGTTATACAGAACACCGTAGATTACAAATATGACATTTGTGGCTTTGAAACCTACACTTGCGGGTTACTATGCTGCATTATTCAAAATAAACAGATTTGTACTGATTAGAAGTTAAACCAGTTTAGGTACATTTAAGTTTTTATGCTTAATCTGTTTTTAACTTTGACCTTGCAACTTTTATAAAAAAAATCACTTACACAAAGTTGAGTTCTAGAGAATAAGTAAGTACATCTGTTATTTGAAACTGCCGGCATCGTGATCCGCTTCCAAGGTGGAGGGGATCTGGACGCTGACGCAGCGCCATTAACAGTAGGCTCACTGACGCGTGCATGGCACTACTTGTCAGCCGTGAAATATTTTCTAAACGGTTAAAAGGTTCGAATCTTGGTGACCGCGGCCCGAAGACATAGTAAAGAAGAACTAGTTATAGAAATAAAATTTTCTTCATAATTGTAAGTAGTCTTATAAATGAGATTACAAAGTGCTTTGTGGCACAAGTGTCACCATGTCACACACCATGTCCGTTGTATAAAATACATGGATATCATGCCAAATTAAATTTTTGTAAACGTGCACAATGCTTGGTGGATTAATATTTTCATAAAATAATTGTTCCTAGATGGAACTGCTTCATCTTGTTGTATGTTTCTGGACAAGTTTCATTTTCGTTTATAATAACGATCTTTATCATCCTCGTATCTTTAAAATTGTGTATGAAAATATATAGTAAAAGAAATATAATGCTGTTTATGTTTTTAAATCTCACCAATCCATAAATTATTGTTGAATGCTTCTGTTTCATAGTTCCGTTGGTATTTCAGTTTATTGTGCTCATAGTTGGCAGACCTGTTGCGCGTCGACGCCCAACCGTTTAATGCACTCATAACAACAAGTGAGTAAACATTATCACTTTGATCATTCTCAATTCTTTAGTGGCTAACGAAAATATGTAAATTTTTGTTTCAGCAGAAAAATGACTTTTTTGGAATCCTGTTGGTCACCATTTATCTGGACGAGTAGTGTTACGGCAGGATGCAATGCCATTGCTTTTTACACAATTGTACGTACTACATCAGTGTTACTTTCTGTACATTATAAGTCTCATATTTCCTGGTGATCTCTTAATAAACTAAGCTTTCTATTATTCTCGCCTTTTATGCGCTCCTCTTCATTGTTTCTGGATGCATTGAATTCTTTTTTGCAGGCAATGAGTATAGTACTCATTACATTACTTTCTTACCAACTGAATGGAGGAGATTCAACCCAATTGTATAATCCATTATTCGAAGCTGATGTCAGGGGATGTAAGTTGCAATATATGTATACTGATAATAATGTATGTTATTGCACATATGTATTACACGTATAATTTTTCAGCTATGCAAGTTGTTGGAGGCTTCTTCATTTTTTATTTTCTTATGCTGATCATAAGCGCACTGTTAATGGTATATGCAGTAAGGGAGCGAATACGAGGATGGTTACTCCCATGGCTCATATTATGGTTTGTTGCATGTCTCTTCCAATTAGTTTTTGGACTTTGGCTCATAGGAGGATACTACATCTATGTAAGTTTTTTAATATTCTAGGAATCTCTTAGGAATTCACAACTAATACATTGGTATTGTCTTTGTAGCTTGATACAGTTTTTGCAGCAATGTGCATCTGGCTTTGGATGTCATATAATGTGAGTATATAATACCTGTTCATTATCTATCGTGTATCCACCTATAGAATTATATCCTCTATTATACACTTTCATTGTTTTACAGATATACTGTTGGCTTGTCGTTTTGTCTATGTATAAAATATTTGCAAAGCTGCAATCACCAAATATAGAGCTTCTATGACCCTAAGTACTCACAAAGCTACTTGTAGGACATAGAGTACATTGATTGACACCAAAGTACGATACATTACTTTTACAGATTGATTTATCAGATTTTATGTTGTATATTTCTATGAAAGATGACCTGATGAACACCATTATTTAAAATAATTTAAATCAAGCAACAGCATCATTATTTGCCATGTTTAACTTGCTTAATCTTATTTATTTTATGATATTTAATACTATTGATATTATCAACACATAAGTACCATACTTAAGTGTCATTAATGTACAATTAGTCCAATGTCTTGAAAGTTTATAACTTTCATAGTACAACAGAAGACTGATATTGGTCTAAGAAATCATCCGTCCAAATTTCAGAAATCTTTATACATCTACCGACAAACTTATGCAATAGATTGTAGTTGGTTGCTTTACACAACCAAGAAAGCATGTATTTCTAATAAAATTTTGTAAGAAATATAAATATTCTAATAATATATAATATTTGTAGAAAATCTTTTATATTTGATGCAAATAACAAATGTTAGTGTAAATTATGCTTAAAATTAATATATTTTACTAACTCGAAACAAATAAATATTATGTTTAAGTACATGAAACACGAATGAGATTATTTGACATAATAGAATGAAAAAAGATTATGTTACATTGTCAAATAAAGAAATAATAAAAAAAGACAATAAAGAAACAACGCTTTGTTTATTTTTCATGTTTTATGAAATGTAAAAATGACCAGGTATCACAAGACCGTGAAGTCATCGTCAATTGCACGAGAATTATATGTTATATTATTATGTTCCTATCTAATATTTCTAATTAATTTTATACGAATTTCCACTGTACTCGATGTAAGATACGAAAGTATACGATAACAACAACCTACAATAAAATGTATAAAAATACTGCTACTTACATACGCAAAATCATAACGATGGTTACCAGTATCTAGTACTAATTGAATGGCGGTAAAACCCGGCAACGAGAACGCAGGTGTAAGAAATTGAAGACATTCAACTGCCATCTGGTGGTTTATTCTGAATTGAAATAAGCAATAGGTTAATTGAACGAAAATAAATATATATGTGAGCAAATGCTAAATACATATATATGTACATGTTCCAATAAAGATATATAATTAATTTAAATTAAGTATAAAATGTTTTTTAGTTTTCTAAACTTTATATTTTTTTAGATATGTATATATATATCTACTGCAAATACCCAACATGCAACGTAAATTTTTGTCCCATGCTTCGGGGGCGTCAGAAGCCCCCGTACCATTTCAGAATTCAATTCCTTGCTAGCGAAACCGTGGCAATAATGTATGTATGTGTCGCTATATGCAGTCACGGGTGTGTGTGTGATATACGTTATCACGGCGTCTATGTAATTCCTGATATTGGAAACTTTTATGTTGAGGTGCGCTCTATCAGCGTCATTTTCGTGGAACACCAAGTCCTATAAAATATAAGGTCTATTCATATCTCGTCTGAATTTCTATGTTCTCATAAAATATCCTGCAATAAACGAGCGCCTACTGTGTGACGTCGTACATAACCTGTATCACCGACTAGGTATAGGATAGACCTATGTATCATCTTATGGGATTCGTGTCTCATGTTCTGAAATACCGATAGTGTAAAAAGTCAGGGATTTTCTGCTGCCCTCTACGTTATGAGAACGGTGAATTTCTGAACTACGTTAAATCCATTTGAGCTCAACTAGTCTGTTTTTTTTCGCGTACAAAAAAGTTATTGCGTTTAATATAGTTCTTATGAATATGTATATGTATTATTATGTACATGTGAGTCAATTATTTTATTATTCCATTGTTATTACAACAATTTAACAGTGACAACGAACGCATGTATATTTTCAAATATCGGACTAACAGTATATTTTTATTCTATATCACTACACATAAGTGAGTAATACGTATCAAAAACGTAATCGAAACACAGATTTTTGTTACACCACAAACATCGCATAAAAGATATTTCGTTATATTGTAATAATTATGGATGTTGCGGGGAAATCAATATAATTGACATTATGGAACATATAACGAAATATCACTGTAACACTTAAAAAAGTTTTAAAGTTCCATTTATATCATTGTTCTGTAAAACTGTTCATACTTCCAACAGCATTCATATTCCAATCAAAGAATTTACAGAATAAGGAAAAGGAATATAAAGTAATTTTCAGTAGTTCCATACATCTTTATCTCGAATAATTTTCTAAATCATTCAAAGTACTAGACATTTTTACACTTTGAATCTCATATCGATTTCTAAAATAATCCTAGTTCGATGTAATATAGAACGTGGTTTTATGAGATATATTCGAAGTTCGCAGCCATTAGCTCGATATTGTCATCAGTTTACAGTACTTTACCGATGATAATACCGATTGCCCAGGCCTCACCACGAGGAGGTTGCTGCGAGTGGAGGCCCAAGGCAGGTAGATGGAATCACAAGTTCTACATCTTCCCACCTTTCACAATAAACCTTATAAATAACTTAAATCTTAACTATCTAATACTAT